ATAAAAAAAAAAAAAAAAAAAAAACCAATTGGCACATGCGTGAAGGGCTAGTAAAGAATGAAATATATACGGCTATATTCTTTAAAAATATTTATTTGAATATACCTATTTTTTTTAAACAAAATTAGTTTTTCAGTTAATATTTGTAATTAAAAAATATCTTAGCTTTATTTAATTACTTTAATTACTAATTATATTTCAATTATTATTTGTTTTGTGAATAATTAGTATTTAAATGTTTTAATTAATTTCATAAATTACTCAATATATAGTAATTAATTATTTTAAATTATTTTGTGGACTGTTTTTATTTTTTTTATAGTTTAATATTTGTAATTAAGTAATATCTTAGCCTTATTTAATTACTTCAATGAGTAATTAGTTTTCAGGTATTATTTCTTTAGTGAATAATTAGTATTTTAATATTTTAATAAATTTCAGAAATTACTTAATAAATATTATTTAATTCTTTTAAGTTCTTTTATTAATGAGCACAGTTTATAGATGCATTTAGCTGTTGCTTAATCATGATTTTCAAGATTCTGTATTTTTTATATATGGTTGTAGACAATGTTCATATTGTTGATATTGTCCTGGCAACTAAAGTACGTATGCAGAGCATATATGAAGATTGGAGAAGACTTCTGTAAAATTGGACGTAACAATAAAAGAAATTTGGATATTTCGTTTGGAAGTTTGATATTATTTGGTTGATTCAATAATATATATGTCGGGATACATAATAGTGCAAATTCATCATTAGCAACTTGGTAACGCGTGAAGTTTCAAATACATGATTTTGTCGAATGAAAATAATTGACAAATGTAGCGAGTAAGAAACAGCTTAAATATATATATATATATATATCCCTATACTCTAGAAGAACTAGAATAAAAAGAATTTTTAACTAGTTATAGTGGGAATTTGACTTTAAGAGTTGGTTTGTGTATTTAATAATTTGAAGACTTTGAAGACATGGAAGAAGAAATGGAATTGTTAGCTACGGAAGAGAATGGAGAGTATGACTAAATAGTTAACTTTGAAGATGACTTGAGCAATTAAAAAATAAAAAATAGAGAAGTAATTAATAAAATAAATGAATAAATGCAAATTGAAATTAATAAATTAATCATAAACTTAAAAGAAAATTAACATAGGTGAATAAATTATACAAATAAAAAATTATGAGAGCACTAAGTTTAATTAAATAAAGAATATAGATTAATGAAAATAATTGGACTAACATAAATTAGAATTTGAAGGACTATAAAATAAACACAGAAAATAATATTAATTGGAAATATTATTAACTGTGGAAGCTTTGAAAACAAAGTAAGAACTTACAGAAATCTTAGTTCAGTGAAAGCAAACAATGCCACGCAGGACACTCACACTCCACTCTCACTCACAACTATTGTAGTTGCCTCAAGTCTACAAACTCTGAGAGAACTTTGAAAACTGAAAAAAACTTACAATGC